AAAAACGGTAAACACTACCGACGTTTCTTCCAGAACATGCTCCGATTCTGACCCACTAAAGAAAAATATACAGCACCCTGACGACAGCACATGTACATTTCGTCGAATCACGCATCTCAACCACACTTCCGACACATTTTCTTTTCAGTTCACAGGGACAAATTTTCAAAACTTCCATGAACTTTTTACATATTTGTTAGGACCACAGAAGTAAAACACGGAACACAGATTAGATGTAAGAAAGATATATTAACAACAGGTTACAGAGATAGTGTAAACGGAGCTTACTATAAGTTAGTGTCCAACACTGGTAGTCGTACTAGACTCTCACTGTCTCTCTCTCTGTCACAATATTTATTACCGTATTTACAGTAAATGTGTCACAAGGACAAAAGGGGGGTTGGGGAAAAAGGACGGTCATCATTTGTCTTAATTTGAACTTAGCTAGCCACAACCACTGACTCAAACATACAAAACAATAATCCTACCACCAAAACACCACATTCATAATTACCTTTCTTACTACAACCACCAAAATACCTCATTGTCTCAATGAGAATCCTAATTAACCCCATATGTACAAATAATGTCTGTGTGGGGGGAATAAAATATAAAAAGTAAAAACGACCCCAATGACTATATACAATATGACATAAAATTATTTACATGAAACTAAACAAAATCGTGTTAGTAATAAATAACACCCACAAACCCTAAATGTGACAGTAAAATCAATTAACTGGACGAAATCGACACGAGACTTTAGAAATATAGAAAAACAATCATCCCTCCCAACCACACACACAGGCACGCACCGATTCAGACACAACAAACAAATACGAAAAAACACACCCTTGAAACGAAAGGCGTCCCGCATCCACCAGAGAACTGAAAACACTGACCACCTAACGAAGGATGGGATGGGGAGTTAAACTAAACAAAAAAGAAAAGGGGACAGAAAAAAGGGGCCAGTGAGCAAACACACCGTAGCTAAGTTTACAGAAAAAGAAGAGAAACTAAAAAAGTCCAAACGGAAAACCTACTCTAAACTAAAACCAGGGATGGGTTGCCCAAGTTCAACCCAGGAAAACAATATCCTGATGCCTAACCGGCATCAAAATTTCAGCCCCTTTTATTCGGCATATACGCGCAAGATTCACCCACCTTTTGCCAAATTTTGATGAGGTGAGCTGCCGCCTTTCCATCCTAATCTTGACTTTAAGCTGATGCTTAAAGAACAAGATCAGTTGGGAAGAGGTGAACTTCTCGCCCTCATAGAATTCCTTCTGACGTTTCGTCCAAATCACTACTCTCATAACCCCTAGTAAGCAACAGAACACATAGTGTTCAGCCTTCGTCATCTGCGGCACCACATTGCTACAAACAGAACTGGCTTCCATGACAAAATACTTTCCCCGCAGCATGCCAAACATGAGGTCTTCAACAAACCTGCACAACAGCACTACCGCCCTGCAGTGAAAGAAGGCGTGACCAATGGTCTCGACTTCCCCCATACAGCGACGACAGTTTGGATATTTCTCCAAGCCTGCAGAACAAAGTCTCTTGCCGACCCAGTGGGTCCCACGAATCATCAGCCAGGTGTTGATGCCTCATCATTATTGAGGCATTTCAACCCAGGCGCCCAAGGCTATATCGAGTGAGCCTCCTGCTTCGTAAGAGCGAGCTCGCCAATCAGATCATCTTGAACGCCCCCCCCCCACTAAATAACACTTGATACAATGCCTTACGAGACAACGCCTGGGTGTTGGAGAGGCCATCCGAAGCCCGTAAGAGGAGCTTCAGAGCACGACGACATTCGCGATAGAAGGAGCACTCGGCTCGGGGTGTACGGCCGGCCTCCCCCTCGCATGAGTGTAGACTTCTCAGGGACGGGAAATGTTTACGAACGTCTTCTTTCCAAAAGGCACCCTCCTCATCCAATCTGCAACACATTCGGTCTAGAAAGGTGATGCGAAGCATATGTTGACGAATCTCAATGCTAGCCATACAGGCCGCCCTCAGAGGGATGAAGGCAACAGATCTCGCGAGATACGATAGGGGCCTTGTCTCTCCACAAGAAAGAGAACAAGGTCCGTACTAATAAAATTAGTCTGGCATACGGGAGTGGAAGTACAAAGAGTCGGTACAGGAGTATCGGATAGATGTGTGAAACCCATACTTCCGCCCTTCCCTTCAGGGAAAGTCTCCTCCGAGACCACAGATTAACCGCGATCTCGGCTTTCCCTTGTACCTCCGACCAATTCATTTCCAACTGGAGATCAAGACCGAATCAGACGCCGAGTATCTTGATCGGCCCATCCGTCCAGAGGAAAGGTCTGGGAAGAGAAACTCCCTTCCACGCACCCAACCGCAAGCCCACAGACTTATCGCGGTTGATCACCATCTCATAGCCACTGATCTCTTTGCTGACTTCGTTAATCTCGGCTCTGCTCGACACAAGAACCGAAACGTGGTCAGCATAGGCAGAATACCTGGCTGAGGTGGTAGCCCCAGGCAGGGAAATTCCGCGCCGGACCCGATTCGCCTTTAACTTGCGAAGGAATGGTTCCAACGCAAGAACGTAAAGCAAAGGCGAAAGCGGCCAACCTTGACGAATGGAGCGAGACAATACGAAAGGTTTCAATCTTACCCCGTTCACCTCCACCAGCGCACCGGGGGTCGCATACAAAAGTCGGATCCAGGAGCGAAAGTCGGCTCCGAAACCAGCCGTCGAAAGGACAGTCTCCAGAAACCGATGGTCAACCCCATCGAAGGCCTTGGACTGATCTAAATTAATCAGCGCGGCTTCACTGTCGACTTGTTCTAAGATCAAGCGTACCATATGAAGGTTATCCTGAATAGTCTTGCCCTTCACAGCATAAGTCTGTTCGGGGCCAATCAGACGAGACAGGACAAGCTGCAAACGGTTGGCTAAGATCTTCGCCAAAATCTTTAACTCAGTGTTTAACATGGTTAAAAGGCGAAAGTTCTTTAACCCATCCCCACCGTCCTTGTCCTTACGCAGCAACTTGGTCACACCCCTGGTGAAGCGTTGAGGCATAGACCCCTGCTTCATCCAGTAGTTGAAAATCAGTTCCAGCAAAGGAACAAAAACGGGCGACTGCTTCAAGTAAACTTCGTAGGGAAGACCATCTAATCCCGGAGATTTATCCAGGTCAACCTGCTTCAGCGCTTCCCAGATTTCCGACTCTGTAATAGGCGTCGAACTCAGCAGAGCGCAGACCGGGCTCCCTGGTGAAAAGATCCTGAAAGTAATCCCGAAATGCCTCGCATATGCCCGCGTTTGTAGTCACGGTCCGCTTATGCGGCAATGTGACGCACGCTATATGTCGCCTAGACGCGTTCCGATTCTCTTCTGCACGCAGTTCAGCGGCCATGTTCGTCGCCTCAGAAGACATTCTTTTTAGCCTAGCCCTAACTACCAGAGCTTGATCCTTCTTGATAATCAAGAAGGCCAACTCTGCCTTAGCTAAGGCTATATCCCCACTAACACGGGATTTCACGGCCCGATCAACCTTTTCTTCTAAAGCCGTTTGTGACGCTAATCTATTTAGATTGAGTCGACGACTAAAATCGGCAGCAAACGTTCTAATTTTGGATTTTAATTTATCCCACCAGGCTTTTCCCACAACCTCCCCCGTCAATTCCCACTGAATCATTAGTAGCAGCTGGTCCCGGAAATCCTGCTCACCAAATAATGAACAGTTAAATTTCCAGTAACCAGCCATTCTAACCTTAGGATTATCTAAGTTTACACGGACCCGGACAAGACTATGATCCGTATAAACTATATAGTGGAAACTTGGACACCCTAAGAGCCCTACATCGACTCTCTTAACTAAGACTTGGTCAAGGTAGCTCGCAAGCGTCCCAGGAGCCGAGTTGCCACTATTTGCCCAAATCCATGCTACCTACCGAGAGTGCTCATTCCGGAACTTATCGGCAAGATCAAACCCGCCGATATAGTCCCGAAATGCCTTCACATCAGGAGTGTTAGTACCCGGATTTTGCCCTATACGATCTATATCGGGGTCAAGGCCGGCATTCCAATCCCCCGCTAAAACTACCCGACGGGAAGTCATCAAAAACGGCTCGATCTGCCGAAACAAAGCAGGCTGCTCAGCCTGGTTATTGGGCGCATAAACCCCAATGAGACGCAAAGCCTTATCCTTTATGGTAACATCCAGCACACAAAGCCTGCCCGCCGGATCTGCGAAGACATGGGTACATTCAGCCTTCAAAGACCTGCTCACTAGCCAAGAGACACCCCTCGAACGACCATCAAAACATGCTGAATAAAGGGCAAACCCCCTAGACAGTATATCCTCGCGGTCATGAGAAGAAAACCGGGTCTCTTGCACGCAACAAACATTCACCCCGAGGCGCTGAAGGTCACGAGAGAGCCTCGCCCGGCGAGACTCGGACCTCAGTCCCCGCACATTTAAAGTAGCTAACCAGAGCGCCATCGAGAAGTCCGATTAGGGTTGTTTACCTAAATTAAACATGGCCGGGGTAAGGATACCAACAGCCTCTCCCATAGACCTATGGCCCATTTCAGTTTTGATGGTACCGTCTTGGGAGATTCCGCCGATATCCCAGGTGAAAGTCAATTTTAGTGCTCTATAAAGGGACGGATGAACGAAAACCGGGACCCTCCCTGCACAGAATTGCTTTATTTTTTTCAACTTGTCATTTTCAGTAATAGCGATGGGCGGGGTCATGTTGAACGAAGTTATAGCCTCGTTCAACATGGCCCAAATCTGTTTCGCGCCCGGGTCGGATCTGACCACTGTTAACACCCTTTGCGCGTTAGGGAAGTTGCTAGGGTCATCTATGTCCTTGTCAGCAAACTGCTTAATCGACAGTAAGTATTTCAAATTAGTAATTCTATTTCCATAGTCTTTTGCCTTCTCCGCTTGTAACGGAGAAATTTTGCAAACCTCAGTCCCCGGGTTAAAAATGCGTTTAGCTTTTTTCTTTTATTCTGTAGAATCTTGGCTAGGGCTTCTGAGTCTTTTAGACGGAGGAGGCATTACAGGCGATTTAGTAGGGGAAGGACTGGGGGTATTGCGGGGCGCAAAGTGTTGTCTAAATGGGCTGGGGGCTCTACTGAGAGGAATTTGGAACTGGGCAGAAGAGGAAGGGGAAGCAATTGGAGGGTTCACTCTACAGAGAGAGGTTGAGGGACGGGGAGAAAGTGGTGTGATGGAGGATGCGGAGGGAGTGGATTTCTTTGTAGAGGGGGACTTAGGTGGACGGGATGTAGAGGGCTATGAAGATTTCGATGTCGGAGAGATCATAGATGGAGACATTTTTTTCTTTGTTCATCCAATTTAGTTTTCAGCTCCTTAATTTTTCTGTTTTACTATAACCAGGATCATACTTTTTTTTAATTCTTCAATGGTCTGCATAGAGGCCGGTGTCATCGCCCTTACTGTTGCCAGAGGGAGTGGGGCTGTAAGTGTCTTTAGTCCCTGGGGCTTCAGGGGACTGAGGCCCCGCTGTCTGACGCTTCCCTCTGGCCCTGCCGACTACCTGCCATTCCCCCTTTTCCTTCTCCTCAACCACACTTGCAGCGGAAGAAGGCTCTTCGGGGAATGGGGGCTTTGATGAAGACCCAACCGGGGTTACAACTGCTCCAGTCCTGGTAGCCAGCGTGCCTATTACAGGCGTGGCGGATTTAGAAGAGTCGGTCATAGGGGGAGTTTGGTCGATTGGGACCTAAGATCCAGAGGCCTTTTTCTCTGAGCAGGAAGAGGAGAGGGGACCAGCCACTCCACACTTCCAGCAAACTGGTTTACGGCCGGTCACGATGACCGGCAGCTTCAGGTCACCAACGTCAAGACAGTTGGGGATAGAGCCAAAGGCTTTTTGATCGAGCATCATCTCAAAGCTCCATCCCCCGGTCAGGCTATCACAAGAAGCACACATAACCTCCCTGTATTGGGACAAGAATTTCGCCAGGTGCTCTCCGATAACCAGAGGGGGGACCTCGTAAACAGCATAAGGTCCTTCGCCGGACCTCGTATTTTGTACGAAGGATTAGATCTTTCGTAATCAGATCCCGAGTTGTTGCTCTTATACAGTCATCGGCGGTGGGTAGCAGCACGTCCCACATGAAAAATCCTTTGCCCTTAACAATTCGGAGGGGCTTAAACCCCAGGGACTCCAGTGATTTGAACACTGTATCTTTAGTCGAACGACAAATTTTGCGAGATCGCTTGTCGACGACAAAAACTGACACTATTCTTTTCTCGACTTTCTTCAGTTCTATTGAATCCTGCAAGAGCCCACCTTTCACCTTTCAGGCGTGCGTAACCCTTGGCACTATCCAAGAACTCCGCAATGTCGATTATGCATTTAGGAGGGGACTTCCAACAAGAGGGCGATCCCCCGGCCTCTGCATTAGCAGTCGAGTTGTCATTAGCTTGGTCACAGTTGTTGCTTTTTTCAGCCTCCATATTTTTAGAGGCTTTTTTCAGTACATTCACAATTTCCTCATTTGTTGGAACTGTGGGCAGATCAGGATATTCATCCTTATTGTCTTTGTACAGGGGATCGTTTTTAGAGTTAAAGATGTGTTTCCTCACAGTGCGTCGAAAAGTAGCGGTTTTAGGCTTTTTTTTTAATATTAAAAAGGAAGGACCTTTTTTTCCTTCTTATCCATTTTTTTAACAGGGAAGTGGAGAAAAAAGGAGGGAAATAGTTAAACAAATTTATGGGCGAAAGTTAAAAAAAAAATTAATGAATAAATAAATTAAATCAAAAAATAAACAAGCTCACCTGAAAGCGAGACAATAAAATAAAATAATTATGCACACACAAAAAAAAATACAAGACGAGAAAAAACACGGTTCACTTATACGTATAACAAAATTAGAAAAAACAATAAAGAACAAATATCGCCTAAAGGCGAAACAATAAAAGAAAACACGTGAAAGAAAATAAACAATAAAATAAAAACGTTAGACAATGAAAACGGAAAACAAAGAATAAACGAAACTTCGACAAAAGCCGAAGCTAGTTAAAAAAAATCAAATTGGCCGACGTCAATAAACAACAAAAAAAATACGAAACGAGGACAAATAGACGAAGCTAGTTACAAAAATTCAAAATGGCCGACCCTAAGACAAGCGAGTCGAACCAATTAACAAAAGAATATAAAGAAATAAATTGGACAATACACCGATTACAAACAAGAAAACACGTAAAAATTAAAAGATGGAAAGAAACAATTAAATAAAAAAAATAATCAAAAATTAAAGCGAAACACAGAATAAAGAACACGAAGATAGATTTAAAAAAAAGAAATTAAAGAAAATGAAAATTAAAAAGGAAAACTAGAATAAAAGAAAAAAGAGCAAAAATTAAAGGAGGTAGAAATGAGAATTAAAAAAAAAAAAAAATGCGGAAATTAAAGGGGTAAAAATTAAAATCAAAAAGGAAAACTGGAAAAAAAAGAAAAAAGAGCAAAAATTAAAGATGGTAAAAATTAAAATCAAATAGGAAAAACTAGAATAAAAAAAGAAAAAGAGCAAAAATTAAGGTTGGGCGGTAAAAATAAAATGGAGAGAAGAAAGAAAAATCAAAAAACTTTTTCAATTCGGTCGCAAAAATGTAAAAATAAAATAAACAAACTTAACCAAAATGAAGTTCAAAAAGCAAAAGTTTAATTCTAACAAAAAGTCGAGCGATAGAGCTGTCAGCAACGGTCAAAAAATAACGACAAACAGTCAAAGCCTGTCACTCTCTAGAGTGCTATGTTGCCTGCTTAATATAGGCCTGGAAGAGTCTATTGTGTGGGTAGTTTCCAGTCTCACAATAATATTAAAAGTTTTCGTTCCTACAACTTTCAAACTGTGAAGAGTATTGTCGGAGTTACCTCCTTAATTTCCAAATTCATCACCAGGGGTCTCTCTGCCCCCATGCTATAAGTACCGGGTGACCTCTTGCCTCGATCTTTTTTTTCATTCAGGCCTCGTGCCGAATTCCACCTCGCGTGGAGGTGAGGTAAATCTCTCTTTCTTCTTCATTTCAGCGACAAGTTGTAAACTCTTAGAAGATCAGCATTTCCCATTTCTGGGAAAACGCTCTGAACATTACAAACATTCACCAAATACAAACGTTCACAGACACAAATTTTCACATACAAACACAATGTTAACTGTCTATGTCCTTTTGTAATTTGTTGTTAATACACATATTTGTTTTGATATATATCGGTCTTGTTTGTTTGTCTTCCTTATCTTCAGTTGGACTTAATCCGAGACCGACATTTTCATATTGTAGCTGGACCTTCTAACAGGAAATTTAAAAGTACGTGTTTTCTTTTCATCTTCACCCCCCACCCCCGGTCCTCTACAAGTCAACTGACGTGTCTGTGACTTAAGTAGAAAGTATTTATCGCACACTTTACTGACTGGATAAAGGAACTATTCCACCTTGTGGCCGTAATGATGGTCTGAGCGTTGATATCATCTAAGCGGTTTGCAATTGTGTTCAGGATCCGTTTACTCAAATTATCTACTTGACTAAGAGTTGTTATGTTTTAGTTGCTTGTTGCTTTACGTTCACGTCACGTAAAACACTGGTTCCCGTGTGATCACCGAAGTTAAGCAACATCCAACCTGGTCACTACCTAGATGGGCGACAGCTTCAGAATATCAGGCGCTGGTATGTGCGGGTGGTGTAAGGGATAATGTCTCGATGTTATTAATCGGAAAGCCGAGTTCCAGTTGAGTCCGTTATATTCATTTACGCGCAAATATCTTTGGCAATAGATCCACCTGTTCTTCCCACAGCTATAGGTTAATTAGTAAAACTTGTATTAATAAAATCATTATTATCTCCCACAATATATTCTCACAATCTAAAAATAATTTCTGGCTTTAAATAACCTGCAATGGTTTGATAAGCCTGAGGAAAAAGAATCAGACAATGAAATACTGATTAGATCCACAAGCATGTTTTTTAGATTTCTTTACTTTCTCTTTAATATAAATTTAATAATATTATAATGATTGCAATATAGAATTAATCCCCGATTTTATATCCACATTATAATTTTTTGTTTATTTAACAAATCCTGATTAGGCATGAATCCTTCTCTTCCCAGCTATGGTTTAATTAGTTAGGCTTGTAGCACTAAACCGTTATTATCTCAAACAAAAAAAATGTTTTGTAGATTGTAATCTAAAAATATTTTCTGGCTTTAAATAACCTGCAAAAGGCTGATAAGTCGTAAAAAAACGAAATCAGTTAATGAATTAGTTGCTTGTTGGTTAATAATTACTAACCAGTCTTTAGAGATGCAAGACAGTTCCGAATTACATAGAGAGAAATGAAATAGGATATAAAACAATGAACATGTCGCTAAAACACAAAAAAATTAATAAATCCTATATTTGGGCTCGGCCAAAAAAAAATACGATTACCCAAACCCAAGCTGGAATCTACTCTATATTTTTTCGAAAAAAAAATACCTAGTAAACTCATACGATGAATTGCGACTTTCCAAGTGTAGCTGAGATGCGGCACAAGGCCGAAAGCATGGAGCATTCAGTGAGGATCGAACTCACTACTCAGTCGTAATTGTTCTAGCGAGACAAGCTTGCTAACCATTACACCGCCTCGAGGTACCCTAGTATAGTGATTTTCCAAGCGTAGCTTAGATGTGGTGCAAGGCCGAAAGTATGGGACACCCAGTGAGGATCGAACTCACTACTCAGTCGTAATTGTTCTAGCGAGACAAGCTTGCTAACGATTACACTGCCACGGGTTGCCCAAACTCATACGACGAATATGTTTATTTCAGGTAGCCGTTAGTTTCACATGCGTTTGTTAAGAATAATGCAAGAATTTTACTTCCAGCAATAAACAAGGACGATAACTAGTTGATGAAGAGGAGCATTACATCAGATCACATCACAATTTAACAGTGGTATCGCTCACTGCATCAATACATCATCCAATATTCTGTGCGTGCAGACAGCTTTCCATGTGGTTTACTAAGAATCATTCACATCAATAAAACATTTTACAAAATAACATTTCTAACAGCTGAAATAGATTAGTAAATATAACCTGCTTAAGAATATCCCCATCAGATTGTAAAAAAAAAAAATAGCTAGCCGCTTGGTCAGACAAATCAACATTCGAGAACTAAAGCAGATGGCCGAACTACTGTGTACAGGCATCGACAGAAATCTATGCAACCAGCTTTTCAATGTACCTTTGTACAATCAGG